TCAGATCAAATAGGTTACTGAAAGCAATCAAGAAAGAAACTAGCAGCAAAGCACAAACAGGCAATGTTCAATCATCAGTGAGAATTCTGAAATCCCGTACAAACTTATCTGGAGTTATTCCCAGTAGTCTGAGCATTGATGGGGACACTCTCCATGATGACTCAAGTAAGATCTGTGAGCCTTTAGTAACCATTACGCAAGCTGCTTCACACAAACATCAAACAACTTGAGATAGGCTGACCTCAGCAGTTTGTTTATGTTGTTCGCCAGCAGATCATTGAGGCAAATTTATTTACAAGCCACTGCCGTTTCTCAACTTTGAAAAGGTCCTGACTGTTAGCAGAGTGGTCTCTTGTCAACTCCATGATTCCATGCACAACCACATTGGTATTTTTACTTGGATTTCCAACTGGAGTTTTCCTCTTCCAGCGACCATTATGTATCGAGCTTGGTACTTATTTTGCGGGTACCCACGTTGTCCAGCAATTTTGAGAGAAGGAGGACGTCCTTGGCTATTTTTGCTGTCCTTAGAGAGACGTTTGGTAATGGTAGCTTCCCTCAGGGTGCTCGGTTGCTTCGAGAAGAGCTTCAGTGAAGCGGGGAGAGAGTCTTGGTGTTCGACAGTAGCCAACTCATATTTGATTGTCAAACTGTTTCCTCCTGATCCACGATGCGTCTGTCAACATTTTATCATTCAACAGGACTATCGACCCGACCGCCCTGTTACTCGCGTTCATCATAGGTGGGACGCCCAATTTCCCATCGATTCAATATGGAATGTTTCGAGTTGCTTCTCGGTCATGACGTCTAAAACGTCCTGACTGTTTCACCAAGGACTTCACGGGCGGCAGCTTTACCCATGCGTCTTGCGTTCCCTGCGGTCGGTCGAGGGATGTGAATCCCCGGCCTGAAAAGGTCTTCATATGTACAGGTGAGTGCAGGGCCTCGGATCTAGCCTTAATTCTGTCTTCCTATGTTTTGTCCTTTGACGTTGCCTCTACTTGGTTTGGGGGGCTGATGGCTTTCGTGTGATGCGCCGTAGCTCCTGAAGGTCTTCCGTATGGGGTGCAGGCAGCTTCCTGCATTCTGGGGAGATGCACGAGAGCAATCCGCAAATTTCTCCTCTCCTGAACTTGGAGTACTGGTGGTGTACTTTATTGTCAAGGTAGCAATATGCCCATCATAAGTTGCGCGCGAATGCCTCATTAACTATTGATAAGACTTTATTGCAGACAGTGGAGTCGTCAGCTATTGTAGTTTCTTCGCGGATGGTGTTGTAGTTGGCAACAAACTGCTTGTAGCCACCTTACTCCTGCTGTTGCCACTCTATCTCCACTCTTTTGGCGTAGTCTGGTTTCCTCAAGGTGTAAAACGGATTTATATTATGATAGGGCTACCGTGTGACATTTAGTTGATCACTACGGGTATCTTAGAAACAGGGTGATTTTTGTTTAAGGGACCAGCACTCTACACTACCTCCGGTTGGCTGTGTATACGGCTGAGAATGTTGTCTCGATGGTCATGATTAACATTGGTACTCCATATCTATTATCTCGGACTAGCATAACCGTATTACAAAAATATTTTTAACAGTGGCAGAGAAATCAAAGATTGGATGTATTGGAAGGAAAGACTAGTAGGGAAGTATACAATTTCATGTTGGGTTACCTTCAGACACTTGCCACTTAGTTCTGTCCATTTGGCCAACGGGTCTTAGCTTGAGTGCCACATATGCATATGGAACCAAGAAAGATGTCTCCTTGAATATGACCACCGAAGAGAATCGTCAGCTGAGGCAGTTGAAATAACCAAGAGCCACTTGCATGAGGTATAATTGGTGGGTTCAAAGAAGTTATATTGCTGGCTTTTCTCAATGTGGGGAGAAAACTTGGGCATGGCGGTAGAGTATACTTCTATATTAAATTGTTTATTCGATATAGCACACAATGACGCGGTTAAGAAGTGTATTGAAGACTACGAGTTGGTGCAATAAGTAAAAATAGATAGGTGTCACTAACGTCTGGTTTCAATAAACTGAATATTACAAGTGAGGGTTTTCTTAAGGTGGAGAAATTCCTGATAAGAGTGAGATGAACAATGAGTGACTTTTATGGCCACTCCGACAACCGCTGAGATAAACAACTACTTTTTTCGATTATTGTTATCAATTCCGAACGAATATGACACACACGCTTAACTGACAGTTAACTTAGTATGCAAGAGCTACCGACTGCAACCCCGGGACGAATAGAGAGAAGACCAAAGCTGTATGATGGGAGGGTTTATTTCTCCGTGAATAAGTACACACGTGAATATGACCTTGTTCAAAATTTGCGACATTGGCATAGTAAGAGTAAAGATTAACCGATCAGAGAATCACGTTACAATGGGGGCTGAAAATAAACTACTAGTCAATACCGTAAAAATGGTGTGGGAATGTCAAGTTAAAAGTGTTGACATCAGTAGAAATGTTTTATGCAAAACCAATTATCTATAACGACAAATTGCAGCTTGATATCCACGGTTACTAACGAAATTACAGACACAAAGTTCGCTGGCGTTAGCCATAGAGAAGGACCTTTTAACCTGGGTAATTTACCTTGGGGTGAAGCGATATCAGACATTTAATGCCGGATTTCTAACATTTAATGGATTAGTGTGTCATGTGAATTTGCAAACTTAGATACAAACTCCCGGTTCAAGGATCCTGCCAATTGCAGGAAAGAAAACGTATAGTGCGCCAAACAGCATATAATGTATGTGAAGTCAGACACATCGATCAGATTAGCCGAGAAAGGTCACCTAGGGTACAGCACGGAAATTTATTTAGTCGCAGATTGTTGGACTATGAGTGACTAAGGAACCCGGAAGGGACATCGGCCACAGGTATTCATGCATTCCCATTTTATTTAGTTACTTGAGTGGATGAAGAAATATTGGCAACTGGGGGTTTGTCTGAGGAGTCAACACCTTATCCATGTGGTAGACATGGCACCCCATCAATTTGTGATGTGTGGAAAGTTTTAATGCCAATAAAATCGAAAGATGCAAGGCAGCATAGCTATGTTAACTCGTCCGGAGGTATGCGATTACCTTGAACTCCTTGGGAGCAACAGATCGCACTCGAAACTTTGACACAAATAATACTGTTGAGCCACTGTAGCGCCATGCCAAAATAGTGTTCTGACATTATTGGTCATTTAGCTTTTACCGGAGCATCACGCATCACTGATAAGAATGAACGATGTTTCACTGGTTGAAATCGCGAGCTAATTTCGGACGTTATGACAGATAAACACTTCCATCAGCGGACTCTCCCTGTGTTTTTAAGGCTGACGAATGGTTATGCACAGTAAGCCCGCCATTGGTGCACTTGAAGATAATATCTAAGGAGTATACTTCACTGTTTGTGGGAGATGAAACGCCTTGTAATGAGTTGAGGAGTGTCGTCCGTGCACCGTTTATCTAACTACTGTCTCCATGTTCATATGTGGCAATCTGTAAACATTTTTAAAGATCTGTAAAGCTGTACTGGGTGCTTATGTATACACACAACTCCATCTCCACAGCCTTTCGGCTAGAATAAGACTGGGCACCAAACTTCAGGGATTTAAAGCGTTTTTACACGTTAACCAACAGAAAGGTATGGCAGTACCCCATCTTCACTGGAGATTGTTTTTGTTAAATCAGGATCCCATAAGCTATTCCGGATGAGGAGTCAGTATTGGACCATAAGTTATATATTTCTGCTTCCCAGCAAGGTCATCCGTACAGAATAGCCTAAACAAGCCACAGACTTGCGTACAGTCACTTTCACGTGGCGTAGTGATAAATTTTTCGGGACATTGGAAACAAAGGCCAAATGGCAAACTAACACAGATCCGGCTTTGAGACTAGGGGTCTAACCAGCCCTCTACATTTCGTATTACTTCCAATTGTAGAGTCTGTTGCAGGATGCGACAGGAGGTCGGGACATTGCGGTTGACCCCTTAAGCCATCTAATATCCCGGTGACACGTGGAATGATACGGTTCCTGCCAGCAGTATTAGTAAAACCATTGGTTCTAAAGTCAGACAGATTGAGAAACAGCCTGCCTATGATAACTTAGATTTCAGAAGCGGATGGTCAGTTATGGCCACCTAGTTTCTTAGCAGCTTAGCTCGTGTCTGAGAATGTGAGACGTTGGGTAGTTTTGAAGGTTACTGGACAAATGAATGGCGAAGAATCCCACATCAGACTATTTGTCCCATACAACACACAGTGAATAAGTGTTATTCTACTGAAGGACGTTTTGAGGGTAATTTGCAGCTCATTATGACATCAGAGTGATACTGTTATTGTCGCATAAAATACTGCGACTCTGGAATAAGCCAGGTAGCGTGCTAACAGGAAGGCGATTAAGTTAGGGTGCAGGTCATATGTCATCTGTCTGACTGCACAAAACCTATGGCTTGAGGGAATGATTTTGATTTGTATAGAATACCTTTAACCCTATTCACCCAACAGAAACTACGTTTCTGAGACTGCTCTCAGAAAAATTCATTCAGTCACTTTTGTGATAAGAATACTCTATGAGGTTCCTTTCCTGGAGGATAGTGATGAGTTCATCTTCGAATGGTCTAAAAATGAGGTTGGACATCCATCCTGAATTTCCTGGGACTATTCCAAATTTATGTTAATGTTCTCAGTGACTGTTAAGCACGACTTATGTATACACACTTATTCTAGGAACTCAGTAGGAAGCCAAACGCGTCGAAAACCCATGCAAAGAAGCAACTCACTCATCAACATAGCAGAATCTCAGGAAATTCTACTTTGCTGCTTTTGTAACAAAATTTCGACGATTTAGTTTCTTTTCTTCGGATGGTTGATGATTTATGTAGGATTCAGTAGGGAACCAACAATAGTTCATGACATTATTACGATAAAAGATCAGTACGTGTTCTGCAAAAATGACTGTGAGTGCTACATTGAGTGAAGATTGTGCTGTTTGTTTAGATGAACTCGAAGAGAGTTGTAAACATCCGGCGCCGATCTGTTAGCGTTAGAAAAGGATTTTGAATTGCCAGGTTGGATATATGTAAGTTGTTGTAGTCTGCAGTCGTAATTTATTTGTTATTTCTCTTAGAAACATTAAAGGTCTCAATGTCTGCTGTAGCAGTAAAAAGTGGTGACAATCCTGCTAATGACGACTGGAAGTCAACTCTGAAGCTCCCTGAGAAGGATATGCGAATTAAAACTGCTGATGTGACTGCTTTAAAAGGTAGCAGCTTCGAAGACTTCTGTCTAAAAAGGGATATCCTGAAAGGGATTTACGAAAAAGGCTGGGAGTACCCTTCCCCCATTCAGGAATCAAGTATACCAATAGCCCTTACGCATCGGGACATTATGGCGAGAGCTAAAAACGGAACTGGCAAAACAGGTGCTTATTCGGTTCCTGTGCTGGAATCTATCGACACTTCAGTTAATAAAATACAAGCTATTATACTAGTCCCTACTCGAGAGCTTGCACTGCAGACCAGTCAAATTTGTATAGAACTTGCTAAACATACGGCGATTAAAGTTATGCTGGTGATTGGTGGAACTCTTCTTAAAGACGACTTAATAAGACTCAGTCAGACAGTTCACATTTTGATTGGGACTCCTGGTCGCTTAGTTGACTTACTGAATCGGGGTCTAATTGACATATCAAGTTGTAAAATTGTTGTTCTTGATGAGGCTGACAAACTGCTCTCCGAAGAACTCAAGGGTGGGGTCGAGGATATCCTGAATGGTGTGGACAAAAGTCGACAGGTACTCGTTTACTCAGCGACGTACCCAGTTACAGTCCAGTCATTTATGGCAAAGCATTTGCGCAATCCTTATCAAATTAACCTGATGGAGACACTTACGTTAAAAGGGATAACAGAATACTATGCCTATGTCCAAGAAAAGCACAAGGTAACGTGTATACATGTCATAATTGATTGTTCTAGGTTCATTGCTTAAATACTTTGTTTTCAAAGCTACAGATCAGTCAATCCATAATCTTCTGTAGCTCAGCTCAGCGAGTTGAACTTCTTGCCAAAAAGATAACCCAGCTGGGATATTCCTGTTATTATATACATGCCAGGATGTCTCAGCAGGACCGCAACCGAGTCTTTCACGATTTTCGCAATGGCTGTTGCCGCAACCTCGTCTGTACAGATTTATTAACTCGTGGGATTGACATTCCAACAGTCAATGTTGTTATTAACTTCGACTTCCCAAAATATTCAGAAACATATTTGCACCGTATTGGCAGGTCTGGACGTTTTGGTCATTTGGGCATAGCTATTAACCTAGTCACATATGCTGATCGGTAGGTCTTCTACATAAACTCACTCACTTCCTGTAGGTATGCACTTAAAACAGTGGAGACGGAACTTGTTACCGAGATCAAACCGATCCCGAAAGAAATCGACAAACGGTTGTATGTGGCCGAGTACCAAAACGAAAATAGTTTGGATCCAACAACAAGAGAAGCTCTGTTTAATGGTCGTGGATTACCTCCTGATAGCAAGGAGGAGGTTGTAAACAATCACTAGTATATATATGACTTCCCGGTGACTCCTGGCCATTGGCCTGAGATGCTCGCCAAATTAGAATCCCTGATTTTTGAGTTTAGGTTATCTCTATTATTTTCTTCGCAGCTTCGATGGACCCATTCCCACTCGTGATATGCTGTAAATTTTAATTTGTCCCCTTCTGTCGTTTTCAGTTTGGGGTTTGTTTTTCAAATGTTTATTTTTTTGTTATTATAATTAGCCCTAACCAGAACTCCCTACTCCCTTGTATTATACTCCAGATGTACAGTTGGCTTATATGCCCTTTATACTTTAACTTTCATGTACAGCTTTTGAGTGGTAACCATCCTTTGATAGCTTTACGTTTGTGTACTTTTGCATTTTGATCACACCATCTTACTAATGATTCACTCGACGAATTTGCTCATCTGTCGCACACGTGTAATCAAAGCGTGACAATTTTGACTGTACACCATCGGGTTTGCTATGGAATGCCCCCTGTGGTTGTGTTGGACCCATGTTGTGGTAATAATTGGTGTTTGTTGGGTTCACCAACCACCCATCCCCCCTTCTGGTATGTGGTCAGTGATGTCCTTACTTGCTTGCAATTTGGTTGTTGTCTTTCAGGAAGCTGACCATTGGTGCTTTTGTTCAAGTTTAAAATAATAAAGGTTCTTGGTAGAATAAATGTTTGGTTTTATTTTCAGATGACTGATCTCTTTCCTGTGCCCAACAAAAGGCCTCAAAGGAAGAAATGCGCCTCATAATCATCGAACCAGGGACCCCCACTCCGCACTACACATGAAAAATTTGTGGCTCATGTGTACCTGTATTTGGATATCGACTGTGCGTTTACACTCTACCAATTGATAAGCTAGCGTTGACTCTAGTTAACCGCATAGCTTTGCTTAAACGGCTGAGTTTGAGACCTGATACTCGTCAAACTTGCGCAGTAAGTCTATCAGCGAACTATATTCATTACAAAAGCTATTGGGTGGCGCGTTTTACTGCCATAGAGCTGTAGCTCGTTGGTTTGACTCAGTTGACTGGTCACTAATTCGAGTCCTGCCCCCCTTGGCGTAGTTTAGGGTGTCAGGTTGTGTTACTGTTTCTTACGCGACTTATATGTCTTACTGTCAACTGCATGTACGTGAGTTTGGTTGCTGAAGACATTTCCACTTTCAGACGAGAAGAGTGTCTTTGGTAAGTTAATCCATTCATAGAATCACAGCCAGCACGTTTTATCCATACTACCTCGTCCCACAAGGTCAGTTAGTTGCAATGTTTTGCACCGGTATGAGTCGAACAGTTGAGTTCATCCGTTTCAGAGAAAGGAGACCAGGTAGAATATGTAGGCTACCTAAACTCTTGAGCTTAGGTGGCCATTGATAGTTCTGCTTATCGATATGGCAATATAATAGAAAATTTGAATTTTTGGTTCTATATGGAGTGACGGTTTGTTAACTTTTGATACGGGTTGCGTAGTTTTGTTTAAGGATGACGTGCAGGCACGACTTGAATTATGTCAGGGTTGTCTGCGAAGTAGACAGGTCAGTGCAATTAGTTGGTATAGATATAGGTGAACACTGATACAGGATAAGCGGTGTTGAATCAAAGGCGTCGTCTATTAAGACGTTTGAATCTCATTGGTGATTATACACCACTGTGACCAAGTGCTGATAAGCTGCATGTCTGATGGCCTCATAAATTGTCTTTGGTCTAGGTTGTCAGTCATGTTGACAGATGAATGCAAATGGAGAGGGTGTTGTCGCTCGGCGTATAAGGGTTCCCGACAAGAGGAAGATGATGGTTAGCGGAAAGAGTGGCGCGCTGATAACCTCCCAGGCCAAACATAGAGGTAGAACACTTCGAAGTACAGTTCATCCGCAGCAACTCTCCTGGTGCCTAACATCTGGGCTTAACTCCAGTGGGGCATAAAATGTCCGTTTTCCAGCTCTTTTAAGCAGGGTTAATGCATAGATTGCAATGGCCTAGTTTTTCTAGATTATTGATCTCTTCGGGGTCTACCATTCTATATTTAGCTACATTTCTATGCTCCGCTAATCTAACTGACCCCGATCGGCTAGTTTGACCTATGTACTTGACCTGTCGGTCATTGCATGGAATTTGGTAGATTGGATTATTTTGCCTAGTAAGATCTATCGGATTCTTAAGCCGACAAAGCTTAAATCCGAGTAATTCCATGTTATATCAATGTGATATGATTATGAGCAATAATTTATGCTCGAAACGTAATCAAGTAAATAATACTGTATCACTGTGCGCTTTATATCAAATAAACAAATCTAATATGGAATTATACTCTACCACAGTGCCGAAGTTTTTCACTTATATAAATCCGAGTAAGTTTGTACGCTTAAGTGCCACCCTAATTCCAGCCTTGTTAAGAATCCTACGTAAAGTTTTTATGTTCCTTCCTTATAGGATCGCACGATAGAGGCTTTGAACTGCTTTCTACTTGTGTTCTCACTATGATTCATATTCATGTTATTATTACTTCGTTTCTTATGTATTCGTACTAATTTCTGAATGAACTGTTGAGAATCATTTTTATGCTTTTTTATGTGTTTCAGTCCTTACTATGACTAGTGAGCTTTTTAGCCTCATTCTTTAGACTTCTGACCAAATCCGTTTTAACTGACATTGGATGAGAAGACCTGAAGTCTAGAGACCTGTTAAAGTGTCGCTTTCCTGTAGACGGTAGTATCCAAACCACCATCTGTCCTTCGTTTTATCCTCCAATCCAACATCGCTAATTCTCCTTGTTAATTTTCTACCTCGTAAGTGAATCGGATTGTGTCCCCTACTGTTTGTATATCAGGGAACTGTGGTTGTGTTCCGATTTCAACACGGTGAATGCGCCATCCACCGCATCTTGGTTGCAGGGAATAAGATGGCACGCTAAACACAAACTCAGATTTAAGCTTTATCGGCTTAAGAATCCGATAGATCTTACTAGGCAAAATAATCCAATCTACCAAATTCCATGCAATGACCGACAGGTCAAGTACTAAGGTCAAACTAGCCGATCGGGGTCAGTTAGATTAGCGGAGCATAGAAATGTAGCTAAATATAGAATGGTAGACCCCGAAGAGATCAATAATCTAGAAAAACTAGGCCATTGCAATCTATGCATCAACACACAACCACACAATAAGGTGGGATAAGACCACTGTACTTAAGTCCGGTATAATTAGGTAAAGAGAGATTGATAACTGAATCTTTGTTCATCGAATCTGCAACCAACACATGTAATAGGAATGACAAAACACCTATGCCAGAAATGTGGAAAACTTTATTACCAATAAGAACAAAGAATATCAGGTGACAGGACTACAAAAACTAGGTAACGAAAGTAGTCTGATTACACTGATATGGTTACGAGCAATACTTTATGCTCGAAACGTCATCAAGTAAATAATAATGAATCACTGTGTGTTATACATCAAATAAATAAATCTTCTATGGGACTGCATTCTACTACAGTGCCCAAGATGTAAACTTATATTGTCTTCACTTTATCTATACCTCTTTTACCAGAATCATGGTCAAAAAGCAAGCAATGATAAGGCGAAAGAGTGGGTCGTGTTGCCTAACTTGTCTCTATGTTAGTATTATATGCTTTATTTCTGACTCGATAAACAATCATCTGGTTAGATTGGTTCTCTAAACAAAATGTAGTGTTTATTGTTCAGTAATACATTTCATGACTTTATTCCTGATTTTCGATGTTGACTGCTTTACTGATTTTCGTATTTGATACCCTTTACTGGCTACCGCTAACAAGTACAAAAGCTGGGCTCTTAATTCTTAATAGATTGACTCTCAGTAACCAAACAAAGTGTAAAATACCATTTGTGTATAATGCAAGATCAGTAATTCTGTACGAAGGCTGCGTTAATGCGAAAATTCGAATAACTAGAACAACATGCAGTACACCTGATTGATATTCTATAAAGAAGTTCAGTAATGGCAAGATGCAGCAGTTTGCTATAGCCCAATTTTCTATCCTTCTTCGAGTGGTGGTGAATTGCATAGAGCACAAATGTTATATTCAGAAGAAATTGGATTTTTTAGTATTTCTGACTGGTTTTTCACCAATAGAGTCATTCGAATGCCTGTTACGATCATTTTTATGGAAATTTTGTTCATTCATTTGAAAAAAACTTATTTATTTTCTGGGTTAAGAAAGAATTTCTGTGTTATGTCATTCTTTATTTTGAATTGTAAAATTTGTACTTGTTGAATATGAAGAATAAAAAGTAAAGTTGAGCCTTAAAATTTAAAGGCTTGTTAAAACGGTTAACAAAGAACCAAGTAACAATAGCCGTTGTATTAGTAGTCTTTGAACAGAAATGATGAAGAAAATTTCCTTGGTCTTTTCTTTTTGAAAGTTGTAAATCACTCGAAATAGCGATACTTGAAAAGTGTAACTAAGAGGTGTAAGTGAGTAGCATAGACTAAGATATTGACAAAGATAAGAAGGTCAACCGATGAGTGCGGAGCGTTAACCTAGAAATGTAAATAAATGACAAGCGAAGGAACGGTTACTACTGTGACCATGGTAAGGTCAGCTAGTATATATTAAGCTTTGTACACAAATATGGTGTTTGAATTTATGAGCAAGTAGTGATTTGGTTATGCATATGTTATCCCCTCCATTGATATTGATGCAGTGTGTCAGTTATGTGTGTGACATTAAGAAGAAAGTAGATGATATGTGGGTGGTAGCTTCATTGGAAATTGTTGGTCATCAAAGCCAGTTATGATACGGATAAAACTGTATCAACTGTATGATAAAAAATAAGACCAAATAAGCGATCAAAAAGTTTCATCTGTGTTTCAATATAAATGATGCATGCATTCAATTTTCTCTCTCGAGAACCACACACATATAAAACAAGCTTGTTTGTAACAGTTACTTCATTGGTGATAGAAGTTATCTTTATTTTCATTTAAGTGGCAGTTCTTTGGAACATAGGTAATGATGATAAATGGCATCTTTGGCCTACCGTCTAATTCTACAATCAGTGAGAATGCTAGCCCCTAAAACATGTAAGTTAATGCAGCCATACCTCCACTTCTTATTTATGCAAGGAAGATGTATGGAAATATCAGAGGCATCATGGATAGATACATATGAGATAATCTTGAACTCATAGACAGAGTTTTTATTTTCAGTATTACATCAAAATGTTGAGTGTGAGCATTTGAAAATAGTATAAACTTAAACTTTCCAGCTTGTCTCATAAATTGTATGGTCTTATTTTCATATTGGTATGAATTATATGAGGGTTGCCATCCTGCCAAGGTACTTGTGCTGTTTTAAATGAATCTGGTATCATTCTGGATTGTCGTTCATGATGTAGTGGATTTATTTTCAGACATGGGTTCTTGTACTAACACGTTCACACAGTATTCGTTTCATTTGAACTGTAAAGCTCACGCTTATCCACTGAATAATACCTGATGTTTTGTTTTCAGGCTTCAAAGTTTAAACGGCACGATCGCCGTCCCATTCACACCTAAAGTTAACTGTACTTCTTAGACATGCTATGAAGCATGAGCTACTTAAGTGGAGTAGTTATCACTGACCTTTAGGTTAACCAAGGTATCTGGAAGCGCCATTTTGTTTCAGTAAGTTAAATTACTAACGGAAGC